TGATTCGAACTTGCCCTCATCAAGTCAGAATGATCACCAGTACGTAAAAGGACAGCCTGTACGTTCAAGTTATAAGTGTACTATTATGATTTGACTATTAAAGTGTCCATTCTGTGACTAAGGCATCATCTTTAGTATCAGGTTTCACATACGATTAGCATATTTCTTTGAGGCTTCCATCACATCGATCAGGAGAGGTGATGCTCAACAACAACAGTCTCCCGTCGGCGCTAGTAGTTTTACTCAGAAGTCCTCAGGAGTTTCATCTGCTGGCGAGTCCTCCGGGTTAGTATTTCGAGACCACTAATTTCTGTGATTTGATCAGAGCTCGAGGGAACATTCCAAAACAGCCTAGGGCTGTCTTATGGTGCTATAGAATAAAAATAAAGGTGCGAAGTGGTTGCTAAGTGTCGGAGAACTCAAAAGAACTCGCTCAAGGGCAGCAAAGTCCTCCTTTGCAATGTAAGCACGCATACTCGGCGGCAAGGTGAAAAATGAGAGCGGAACTGCGCAAATGTGCCTAATAATGCCCTTTCGGAATTTCTCTCGTTGCAGCAAAACGCATATCGTCTCTACCCTGCCAGCAACTTTTCAGTGGCCTGTCAACTGGAAGAGAACCACTGACAAGCTCGAACTGTGCTATTGAATGTGAAGGTAGACTGCTGACAAGTGGCACGCTTACCATACACACGATCAGGAGGTAACATCCTCGATCTGATCCCGTTCTCGCCTTCTAACACTGTGCTAACAAACTTGGGGAGGGGCATCGGAAGGGCTGCCTGTGCAAAACTAAGACTGCCGCAACAGAGACAACGGCTTTTGCTTGAGCCGTAGGAGAATTTAAATCCCAACCTTGTTAGGGTCATCCCTTTTGTTGAAGGGATCCTTCGAATACCTCTCCCAAAGATTGTTACCTCTCTCCCTCCATGAAAATAAAGCGGCTCACACTTCAGAAATAGTGTCTATCTAAATGATACTGCGATTATTGAGTGAACTCCGCCGTTCCTGGAACTGATCATGTTCTTCCCTACCTCAAGCTTTGAAATTAAAAGTTGAGTTTAAAGAAAAACTGAAGCAGAAGTACGGTATGGGATGCTAGTTAGATAAAATTTTCTTATATTACTTATTAATGCGTTAGTAAAACGTGCCAGAAAATGTAAGAAGGCCATGTAAATTAGCAACTGCCTAAAGCAGACCACAAAAAGATCTGTAATTGCAATCCATCAGTGGCTAAGGAATTTTGGCAAAATGAAATCATCAGATAGAGAGCAGGGAGAGGAGTGCCCAGAGTTCAGAAAAGAGGTGGTGGTAATAGCTTCTTTTAAAACAAGAGGGTCAAGACTATAGGCAGAAAGAGAACCGTGAAAGACTGCTTTGCTTATAAGTTAGGTTACTTTTAGGAACATGTCGGATCCTATATGGTCGGCTCTTCAAAACACCCTCACCGTTCCCTACACTGATCTACAGGTATCGAAATTCACCATGATAGCTGGCGGAATTAGCGCCGTTTTAGTGACTATTCGATTACTTGTAGCTCGCAACGTCGAACTTCTCCGAGGAAAACATCCTTGGTAAGGGTGGATACGGTGTTGTCTATGTTGGAGAGTGGAAGCATACCAAAATCGCAGTGAAGCGATTCCTGTCAACTGGTAGCAGGGGTGCTCAGGTGAGTGCGGACTGTTAATTTTCTGATGATTTTCCAATATTTCGATTCTCATCTAATCTCTGTCTTCGCAAGTTGATCCCTTGGTCATGGGCTGTCTTATTAGAGGCCCGCTCCGCATTTATTTGATGTTCAGAGGCTTCCTCGAACCTGGTGGTCCCGCTCGCAAACATGTAGGATATACAATCTCTGCAGCTCACAAACACGTGTGCAACGTGCGACCCGCGACTCCGGCTGCGCCCACTGGCCGGGGGACGCCTAATGTTCATTTGTAAAGGCTTGGTGGATGTGTGATTGTTGCGCTTCTAGCCGTGTCCATTTCGAATGGTGAGAGTGAGGTGATAAGGGGAAGAGCTGACACCAACAGCTCGTACGGCCCCAGCCTTTCTTCGCCTTATAC